ATATACTGTGAATTCATTCACATCCAGCAAAGTCTTTCGAAGGAGGATTTATAGTCACAGACCTTATCTGGCTTGGAGAGCTGCCAGGCCGATATCTGCAAAACTTGGCAAAGAGTCTCGGAGAGTCATGAACCAAATAAGCGAACTAATTGTCTCCTGCAAACTCCCCTCCCCTTTTGCTCCTCTTTTATATCCTCTGGGAGGGGCCATTCATCGTCCACCTGGTCCTTACTCCCAAGTCGACCCGTTTTTTTAGCTGTTCCCTTCGTCTGTCGACTCTGCGCATGCGCACACTGGGAACAGGCTCCAGCTGTTCATCTGCCTCACTGATGTCTGACTCTGAAGGCAGCTGATAACTGTCAGACAGCTCTGTCCCCCTCTCTGCCTCCAACACAGAGCCCTCATCAGAGCCTTCCCCAGACTCCAGGACTGGCTCATCTTCCTCCCCAACCTCCTCAATGTCCGAATCTGCTGCCAGCTCTGCTGGCTGCTGGCGGGCCACAACATTAGTATTGTTGTTTTTTATGATCTATTGAGAGTGGTGGGAGAGGCGTGTTTCAGGCTGGAAATCCGTGCACACTTACCTGAGAGTAGTTAAAACAATTTTCACTTCCAAATAAAACCCCTGCGCATTAGAACCAATGTTCTTCTGGGAAATGAAAAGAAATTTAACACCTATGGAGGCTGCAAGCCTTTGGTTTTTTTATGCCCCTTTCACAGTGCTGAGCCGCAACCCCCATCATCCACATCTGGCACAACCAATAGCACTGTGATAGGTGTAAAAAACATAGATATTTCCAGTTGTGGATAATGAGTCCCTGATGGAAATACTAGTAGTCCTCGACTTACGACCATAATTGCCCCCAAGATTTAGGTCGCTGAGAGAAACATTTGTTAAGTGAAGTTTGACTTTTCTTGTCGTTGTTGTTAAGGGAATCATGGCATTTGTTAAGTTAGTAACACGGTTGTTAAGTGAATCCAACTTCCCCATAGACTTGGCTTGTCAGAAGGTTGCAAAAGGGGATCACATGGCCCTGGGCCCAAGCAAACGTCATAAATATGAATTATCTTAATTTTGATCATGGGGGTGCATTGGTCAGAAGTGTGAAAAACGGCCATAACTTTAGTGCCATTTTTTCAGTTCCATTTGTAACTGGTCACTAAATGAATTGTTGTAAGTTGAGGACTACCAGTAGATCCTATAATGTTTGGGTTAATGCCTGACATTGAACTCAAGGTGGATTGTTTCTCTAGAACAGTTTTTTTTCCCAAACCTCAGGACTTTTAAGGTATGTGGACTTCAACTCCCAGAATTCTATGCTATGCTGGCTGGGGAATTCTGGGAGTCGAAGTCCACACATCTTAAAGTCCCCAAGTTTGCAAAACTCTTAATCAGATGAATTTGAAGATCTCTCTCAACACTTATTTTTTAGAGTAAAAGATGCACCAAGATTTTGAAGAGGCAAATAATTTTCGCTCATTTCTGCCCTCCCCAGCCCCCAGGAGCACTCTGCAAGCCTCCTAAAGGCTATGCACGACCATTTTGGTGAAGGGTGCAGGGTTTCGGGTGGCAAAAAAATGTTGTATTCAGTGTGTAAGATGCACCCAGATTTTCAGCCTCTTTTTGGGGGGGAAATGGTACGTCTTATACTCTGAAAAATACGGTACATTCCATGAATATTTGTAAAGTAGATTTGTGGAACACTCAATGTCTCCTTTTCTTCTCATATCTTCTAAGAATTTTGCGCAATGTGATCCAGAAGAGCACCAAATCAAGTCCTCGGCACTTCTATTCTCTACCATAAAGCCCACCAGCTTGTGAGATCAACTCATCAGCCTTAAGCTCCTCCTAAGAAAATTGTTAAAGCATACAGAGCACCCTTTAGAGTTGGTGTGCTGGCCTAGAGGTGGAGCTCTCACCTTACAATTAGGAAGCTGCGAGTTCAATCCTAGGTAGAGGCAGATATTTTTTGTTCTGGGCGCACTGAGAATATAATCTGCTGAATGTAACTCCGCATTGACGACAGGAAGGGCATCTGGCCAGTATACACTCAGCTCAAATTGATTGCTGAGACTCCACCCCGCAAGGGATTATGGGGCAATTAAGACGATGAACGATGATACGCAGCACCCTTTGGGTACAAGTGTCAAACTCGACTGTGTCACATGACATCATGTGACCTTTTTTGCCTGTGTGGATCCGGGGTGAGCATGGCCTGCATGCAGGGATAGGTTTCAAAATTTTTAGCAAGGGGCATGGCCTAGTTGACCTTCTGCACCACAACGCAGGGCGGGGGATGTCTTTTCCCTCCCCAGGCTCCAGAGGCTTATTTTACGCCTCCGGGAGGGCAAAAACGGCCTCCCTAGGAGCCCGTTTCTGGCCTTCCCAAACTTCTGGTAGGCCCGTTTTTCGCCCTCCCCAAGCTGCTGCACATGCCCTGCACTTACCTGCATCCAAAATGGGCCACATGGGGGCTCCTGGGAAGGGTAGGCGAGGCCAGCCAGGAATGGGATTTGGGGGTTCTCCGAACTGCACAGAATCGTAGCTAGAGGTTCTCCGGAACCCCCAGCAGGCCACCCCTGCCTGTGTGTGACGCGTCCGGCTTACGGGCTGCCAGTTCGACACCCCTGCTTTACGAGATCTTTACGAGGGCAGGGGAGGCAGTTGTACAATCACACAATCCCGTGTCTCCTCTCACAGCAACCCACACCCCACGCCCCCCTAGGGAAGAACAGAGTAGCCAACTGCGTGTCACCTACTGAAAGCTCATTTATTGTGAGAAATAAGTGCTAATAATCTGATCCCGGACTTCTACTCCCTGAGGATCTTGTTCGACCAGGCTGTCGGTCTCCAGGTACGGAGGCACAGGGACCTCAGTGTCCACCCCTTGTCCTCCATTGATGATAGGCAGCTGGCGTCTCAAGGCCATGTTGTGAAGCATGGCGCAGACTACAAAAACCTTCGCCACTTTCTCCGGCCGGAGCATCAAGCGCCCCCCCGTGGAGTGAAGGCAGCGGAACCTCATCTTGAGCTGCCCGAAGGCTGTCTCCACCACCCGCCGCGTCGTCTTGTGGGTTGCGTTGTAGCGCGCCACAGGCTCGGGGCCGTCATCCACGTGCGGCGTCATGAGGAAAGGCCGCAAAGGATACCCCGAGTCGCCTGTGGAAGAGAGGGAGCAAGGGTCAGCACACAAGGGCATAGGTAGTCCTCAACTTATAAACAGTTCATTCAGTGACCGTTCAGAGTTACAATGGCACGTATCATCGTTTTTCACACTTATGACCATTTCAGCATCCCCAGGGTCACAGGATCAAAATTCAGACACTTGGCAACTGACTCATATTTATTCAATCAATCAGAATAGAGCTGGAAGGGACCTTGGAGGTCTTCTAGTCCAGCCCCCTGCTCAAGCAGGAGACCCTATACCATTTCAGTTAAGTGCCTGCCCAGTCTCTTCTTAAAGACTTCCAGTGATGAAGCACCCACAACTTCTGTTCCACTGGCTAATTGTCCTCACTGTTAGGAAGTTTCTCTTTAATTCCAGGTTGCTTCTCTCCTTGATTAGTTTCCATCCATTGTTTCCTGTCCTGCCTTCTGGGGCTTTGGAAAATAAACTGACTTCCCTCCTCTTTGTGGCAGCCCCTCAAATATTGTAATACTACTCTGGTCCCCCCTAATCCTTCTTTTCTCTAGACTATCCAAACCCAAATCTGCAACCCTTCTTCTTATGTTTTAGCCTCCAGGCCTTTAATCATCTTTTTTTTTGCACTTTTTCCAAAGTCTCTACATCTATTTATTTATTTAGGACGGTTACAGAGTCCTGGAATCATGTGATTCCCTTTTGCCACCTTCTGACAAGCGAAGTCAATGGGGAAGTCATATTCACGTAACGATCATGTTACTTAGCTTAACCACTGCGGTGACTTGTTTAATTGCCGTGGCAAGACAGATCGTAAAATGGGGCAAAGCTCACTTAACAACTGTCTCACTGAGCAAGAAAAATGTTGGGCTCAATTCTGGTCGTAAGTTGAAGACTACCGTACTAGGGGAATTCACTCCGCAGCAGATTCGGACAGTGAGGAGGTTGGGGAGGAAGATGGGCCAGTCCTGGGATCTGGGGAAGGCTCTGATGAGGGCTCTGTATCGGAGGCAGAGAGGGGGCCAGAGCCATATGCCAGTTATCAGCTGTCTTCAGAGTCAGACATCAGTGAGGCAGACGAACAGCTGGAGCCTGTTCCCTGTGTGCGCATGTGCAGAGCTGCCAGCAGAGGGAGCAGCTAAGCAACAAGGG